GAGATTTTTGAGTGGAGGGTCATTTACTTGCGAGGGGGGGGGGTCTGGACAGTATTGGTGCTGACATGAGGGCAGGGGACTGGACTCTATGACCTCTCGAGGTCCCTTCCAGTCCTAGACTCTATGACTTTGTTACTAGCATTTTAAGTTTTAAAAATCTTTTCTCTAAAAACATTTATGCTGGTGGATTTTGGGGCATGGGTTTTGCCATTCCGTTAATGACATACTAGTCACTTTCTTGTTCTCGTGGACTAGCACAATGTTCAGAGCTGACATGCCTATATGTGTGTAGTAACAGACATTTACATACAAAAGGATTTATGAAATTTAAAAAGCTAAAATGTAAAATGTTTTTAAAGAGATTTGCCCCTAAGTTACCTATTTCCCTGTAAAGACAGCAAGATATTTGGCCATTGTGTACACCACGCACTCTAAAAAAAAAAAAGATGCTGTTTAAATTAGTTTCCAGTACTCATTTATATTATGTCTGTATTCCCGCACACCAGGCATTTACTAGAAACTGGACATGGTGTAGAGACAGACTGGTACATCTGATCATCAGTGAGAAGTGTTCCATGAGCTGACAAACCCTCAGCTTTCTGTCAAGTGTCTGGTGCTACTCTGAGCAGAGTGATTCAAAGTGACTGGCGAAGTGGCTAGCATCTGGTGCATCACATTAGTTCCACTAGCGGGGGCTCTATTCCAATACAGTAACAAGAACAGCTCAGAACATTAACTCAGCACAGGAGAGTACTGAAGTATTAAAAAGACCTGCTATTATAAAATTTGCTACAAGTATACTGCGTTTACTCTAGAGGCCAGAACAGCAGTTTCACCTTCTGATTCTTGCCCCCCATAATCATGCCTCTGTCCAAAGGGACTGACATGACACACAGATGCACAGCTGGGGACTGGTCAAATGCTCAGTGACATGCGTAGATTACTGGAATGTAGACATATAATATCTAGAAGGATCCTGTGAAGCACAGGATACCTGACAGACAGCATCTCTCCCCTCACACCATCAACAGGTCATTAAAATCAAGGGCATGCATAACAGAAGCAGTTTTACTCACAGAACAAGTCACTTGTAGCTGCTGCTGCTGCCCCTGCTCTTGGGGTGTGGGCTGCTGTTGCTGCTGCGGGTCCCATATGTGCACTGTCTGAGCTGTATTCTGGTATGTCCCTGCCACGGCCTGCACTGCCACTGGAATGTGGATGTTGCCATTCATGAACTGTGCTGGAAAGAGCGAGTTAGCGATAGTTTGCACCACTTCCTCCTGTGAGTTTTTCACTACAGATGCACCTCCCACCATCTTATCCTTGTCATCCTCCAGCTTCACAGCAGCCAGTGTTGTTGGCGAGCCGCTAACGTGGACAGCATTGTAGGCCTCCTGGGGGATGGCGATGTGGGTTATATTTTGCTGCTGAAGGTCACCACGTGGCTGAGCTGAGTAAACAGGGATGGTCCAAGTCTCTCCAGTGGGGCTAGTAATGGTCCCAGTGGCACTGTATAGGTGGGCACTGTCCACTGTTAATAAGTCCGGCCTTAAAGATACGTAACTCTGCTGCTGGCCTTGAGGAATGGCCAACACCGTGGCAACTGGCTGCCCTGAAATAGCATATGACACAGTAATAGGCATATCTACTTTACGCTTCTTCACTGGCTGAAGGACACTAGCGGTGCCGATCCGCCGTTCGCCTTCCCGTGGTGAGCCCTGCTGAGAAGGTGGAGGTGACAGTGCTCCAACTGTCTGGATCTGGATCTGTTGGCCACCAGCAATGGCCTGTCCAGACACAAGCTGGGCCTGGATCTGTTGGTGCTGTATGTGTTCCTCCTGGATCTCAGTGGCCTGGATCTGTTGGGCAGTCTGTACATGCTGCACCTGGATTTGAGCCGCTTGCAGCTGAGATGGGCTAGGGCTCTGAAGAGACTGACTCTGTATTGTCTGGGACGCCTGCTGCTGTGCCTGGCCTTGGATCTGAACTTGGACCTGTATCGGCTGCTCTGAGGCTTGGTGGACAGTGAGCTGGGGAGAGAGCTGCTGGGCAGAGACCTGTTGTGGGGACTGCTGGACCTGGACCTGGACCTAGAACAGCAAAAGTTCAATCGTTAGTGCTCAAACCACAAGAACTTTAGTTCAATGGTGAGGCCATGAACAGACAATATGGTCTATATTCTAGAGCTCTCCGAGGTGCTCACTTCTGTATTAATTTATTATACTAATCCTGATCAACAAGATAGAGAAGCATCTTGCCTAAGGAGATCTCAAAGCTATCTGACAAAGGGAACGCAGAGTGAATGCTGGATTTCCTCAGCACAATTCATTGCACCTCTCAACTGAAGAAATTCACAAACTGTATCACACACCACTTCCCAAACAACTCCAGTCTATAAAACAGACCTCGGGCATCCCAGGAAGCTGAGAATACCCTTCAGAATTGTCAGCACTGATAGAACGTGCACCATTAGAGACCCAGCCTACCTCATAGCAAATCAACAGAAAGTCACACCTGATGCAAACACATTAATCATAATGAAGGCTGCAAGTTTATCACGGAGGTCATGGATTCCGAGAATTTCCGTGACCTCTGCAGCAGCCCCTGCACCAGATGTGGCTCAGCCAGCCCCATGGGCAGTCTTGGGCCACCGCACCCCACCCCTGCAGCAGAGTGTGAGGGGGGAGGGGCATGTGATAGGATATTGGGGTGCTGCTTACCTGGGGGCGTGGCCAGGCAGCTCTGTGCGCTGGCTCCTCCCAGAGCACTGGCTTCGCAGCTCCCACTGGCTGCGGTTCCCCGCCAATGTGCGCTGCGAAGCTGGTGCTCTGGGTGGAGGCAACGCACAGAGCTGCCTAGCCACACCTCCGCCTAGCAGCTGAGTGAGGGAGATGTTGCCGTTTCCAGGGAGCCCCCCAGGTAAGCACCACCCAGAGCTCCCTCATTCCATACCGTACCCCAACTGTTGTTGCAGGGAAGGGGGGGGATAGAAGAAAAGGGAGGAGCGGAGCCAGGCCGTGCGCTGCCACCTGCCCCGCTCCAGCACCAGCGGGGGTCCCGGGCCCCCAAGTTTTAGTCACAGGCTGTGTTTTTGTTTTTTAAACTGCTCATGATCTGTCCATGACTTTTACTAAAAATACCTGTGACTAAAACGTAGCCTTAATCATAATGCTTGTGTTAACATTCTTTAATATTCACCTTGCTACAAAACGCAAACATTTGACTCACAAGTTTCTCCATCTGTAGGATGCTTCAAGAATGAGGCAATAGGTTCCGTTCCCACTCAGCTCCCCAAAATCATCATGTCACTTCACACACATGATTGGCATTAACTAAAGTAAATTAGGATAACTCTCTTAGAGGAGGGGTATAGTGTTTATACATCGAAACTAAGGTTGACTTTTACCTAACCTTGGGACTAAGAAGCACTAATTAATGGAAACTCCATGTATCTGAAGAAGTGGGTTTTTTACCCACGAAAGCTGAGGCCCAAATAAATCTGTTAGTCTTTAAGGTGCCACCGGACTCCTCGTTGTTTTTGTGGATACAGACAAACAGTGCTACCCCCTGATACTGGACACTAATGAATGGATATCATGTTGGAAGGAATTGCAGACCTCGAACATATTGTAGTTTAAATGAAAAGGACACTATTAGGTTAAAAATGGCTTCTTGAGGTTTTCCTAATTAAGTAAACTTTGCCACAGATTTTCAGAACTGGAGGAATTTTGAGAGTCTAGCTACCTGTTCGTCATTTCCATTTAACTCTGCTTAGACAAGAAGAACATGCTCAATTTCACTTTCAGGTTCTCAGGCATTTAACACCACATTGCATAGTCTTGGTTTGAAATAATGCAAGGGAAGATTTACACACAAAGAACAATCTTGATTTTTAGTTTAGGAAAAAAGAATCCTACCTTCCTCTTTCTCCTAAAGCTATGGAGTCAAAACTACCCCAAGGTATCACTAAGGTTCACGGAGAAGCAACTTCACACAGACACACGGATGACATTACATTTCACCATCGTATCTGGAAGAAGCCCAAAAGAGTCTATGCTAACTCCTTCTGCCAGTATCACCAGACAGTCAGTCTCCGGACCGACAGGAATCCAAGATTCAATTATTCTGATTTTAACAGCTATAAATATTCTTCCAGGCCTGTCATTGGCCACATTGGATACTCAGATTAGATGATAGGAAAAACTTTCCAACGATAAGGACAGTTAAGAACAGTAACAGGTTACCAAGGGAGGTTGTCGAATCCCCCTTGTTGGAGATTTTTAATAACAGGTTATACAAACGCGTGTCTAGGATGGTCTAGGTTTACTTGGTCCCCCTCTTGCTGAGGCAGATGGACTAGCTGACCTCGAGGTCCCTTCCAACCCTATACTTTTATGAAGCTATGTCACCCCCCATCTTCCAAACCCTCTACTGGCTCCGCACTACACCAAATTAAAACTGGTCCTCATCTCCAAGGCCCTTTACAACTCTGTCCCTCCATACTCATCTGTTCCTGTAACCATACTGCACCCGCCCCATTGCTCTACCAATTATACTAGCCTTGAATGGCCATTTCTCTGCTTGTTCCATAAACATCCACATGATTCTTTCCCAGCACAAGGGGCTGCATGGAACTCCTCACATGAGTTAACCTACAAGGCCACCATTCTCTTCTGCCACAAATCCCACTTCTACGATGTTTAGAAGAAACCAGGGAACCAATGATGGCCATGGAACACATTAGTCGGAGGTAGCAAATTTATTTTAAAGGTTTGACAATCTGGACCCATCTGGAACCAAGAGCTAAGCTATGTAACTGCATGCTCTTATTTTCCTTATCCTTCCCTCCCCTCTTATTTGGCCCACCTATTGGATTCAAAATTATACTGTAAGCTCTTTGGGGCATGGACTCCCATTTGCAAAACAGGGATCTAGCACTGACTGGGGACTTTGTTTCTCACTTTTATGTTGTGTGTATTGCAGTAGCACCCAAACAGTGATCCTTACCCAAAACGCCCATTCCCTGAAAAGCTCAGATTTCCAAAAGGTCTTATTAAAATGTTTCAAGGATTCATTTGCAATAACTTAAAAGTTGCCAAGGAAACTGAGGTAGGCAAGGAGGCATCATTCACAGAACCATTTTTTTTAAGTCACCTCCTGTTGAAAAGAGCTGATTCTACTCACAGGAAATACAACGAACTTTAATCGTTCCTACTGCAGGGCTAGAGCAGCGTGCACCACATTGTAATGCAGATGTGGATTTGATACAATTTCCTACAAGGTAACAAGAATCATTTGGCCTCTTGCCAATAACACAACTTAAAGCTGCATCAATGAATGATCTGACCAGGCAGTTAACTGAAATAGATGAAGTCACACATGGGCTAATGTTTCACAGTTTGTAATTTCTTTTCCTTTATTCACCAATATTCATCTCACCTACAAAAATCAGTCTTTATTGTCCCGTATTTAAAGGAAACTGAGATGAAAATTTGGGTGGGATTTTCAGAAGCACCTAAGTGTCTTAGAAGCACTTTCAATGGGACTCATGCTTAAGTCATTCAGGCGCTCTTTAGGCTTGGATTTTCAAAACACAATGAGAGATACCTGGACAAAAAAACCCACCACCCAGCAGTATTTTTGCACAGCTACTTAAAATACACTAACTGTGCTCAAGCCCTCATTTTAGGGTGGTCCAGATATCCGTGATGCAGAGATACAAATAGGAAGTAAACAAAAAAAGCAATGTTGTTTTCACAGCTTCACACAAAACAAGAAGAACGTGAATGAAAAGCTAATAGGACAAGAATCTTCCAATTTCTCAGAGACCGCCACACAATGAAGGGGTGTACGCTTTAATTGCTGCCCTCTGCGACACTAGAAACCACTCCCAGAATGCTGGATAGATATCAGTGCACAAAGGGGGGCCTGATCAGGTTGACAGGGTCCCTTACATTTAAAAAGATATTTTGCTCTGTGCTTCATAGTCTCAGGGTATCCACTGCTTTCCTTATATTCACTTTTTCAGATCAGAAAGTCTGTTGCATTGCCTTAATGTACACAAAGCTCTGCACCTCTTAGAATCACAGAATCTGAGGGTTGGAAGGGACCTCAGGAGGTATCTAGTTCAATCCCCTGCTCAAAGCAGGGCCAACCCCAACTAAATCATCCCAGCCAGGGCTTTGTCAAGCCGGACCTTAAAAACCTCTAAGGAAGGAGACTCCACCACCTCCCTAGGTAACGCATTCCAGTGCTTCACCACCCTCCTAGTGAAAAAGTTTTTCCTAATATCCAACCTAGACCTCCCCCACTGCAACTTGAGACCATTGCTCCTTGTTCTGTCATCTGGTACCACTGAGAACAGTCTAGATCCATCTTCTTTGGAACTCCCTTCAGGTAGTTGAAGGCTGCTATCAAATCCCCCCTCATTCTTCTCTTCTGCAGACTAAATAATCCCAGTTCGCTCAGCCTCTCCTCATAAATCATGTGCTCCAGCTCCCTAGTCATTTTTGTTGTCCTCCGCTGGACTCTTTCCAATTTTTCCACATCCTTCTTGTGGAGTGGGGCCCAAAACTGGCCACAGTACTCCAGATGAGGTTTCACCAATGCCGAAGAGAGGGGAATGATCATGTCCCTCGATCTGCTGGCAATACCCCTACTTATATAGCCCAAAATGCCGTTAGACCCCAGGAGAAGGCACTACTTTTATTTCTTATTTCATTGGAGGGGAGTAGGCTCTCTATTACATACTAAGACGACAATCTCCAACAGTAGGAAAGTGCAGCTAGAAAGGTGGCAAGACTGGTTACTTCAAAGCAAAAGCCATCTCCATTCCTAGAAACAGCCAGGGCAGCGCCACCAGCATTTTCCTATTTTAACCCTGGTTTTAGATTCTGATCATATACCTACTGAAATCAAGGGGGAAGAAGAGGAAAGGAGTTTCATTGGCAAGGCCTGAGACAACCTGCTACTCCAAGAGCTAAATCCTAACTACTAATATACTAGCATGTCTTGTAGAACTGTTCCGATGTTTGTGTACCCGTTATGCCAGCTATCCGTAGATGCAGAACCTAGGTCAGAGGCAAACCCAGGAAGAAGGGAGGACGACAGTTAAAGAATCACGCTTAATGAGCTGCTAACTCTTTACAGCTTCTCCAGAACCAAAGGAACCTTCAACATCCTTAACTGTCACCAAACCGACTTAATCTGAACGGAGATCCTGAGGGAGGACCCCAGTAACGGGATACTGAAGCTATTCCTACTTTGCTTTCCTATCCCCATTGCCCCCCACTCCCTCCAATAATAAATCTTCAATATTTTATCCTTCCGACAGCCCTACATTGTAGCAAGCCACTCCCTGCTAGTGTAACCAACACCACTCCTTAAGTGATCCAGTAGGAGTTGCTAGAGAGCAATGCCTGGCCCATACTTCAGAGCATTCCCAAACCTCTCTACTCCTGAGGGCATTCTGTGCCATTAAAAAATTCTGCACACAATATTTTAAAATTCTGAAAATTGCGTGTGTCAAATGTGGAGGCTCTAGCATGGCATTGGGGAGCACAGGCCACTGGCTGCACAGAGGTGGGAGATCACAGATCTCGCAAGCGGGGTCTGGGGGGGCTCAGTGGGGGCATCCAAATGAAGCTGGTTGGGCCTGGATCAGGATGGCTTGTTGGGGTGGTCCAGGTACAATGGGGCTCATCCGGGGGGGGGGGGTGTTCTGGGCGGATGCGGGAGCAGATCCCTATACAGAGATCCCTCCCTCCTGCAGCTGAGGAGCAATAGGTGCAGGAAGCAGGGGAGGGGGGAGGGAAAAGTTTGCAGAGCTTCCTACAGCCGGGGGAGAAATTTGGGGGTGGGTGGGTGGGTTCCAAGCTGTCAGCGTATGACTTTCTGGGTAAAGCTGCCAAAGGAATCCCAAGAGCTATGCTGTTTGGCCCACTGTGTTCTGAACGGCCCTCGTGTCACTCAGAGGGAACTGGTTAAGACAACATCTGAGGAGGAGAAAAAGGAACCAAGAGTGACTCCACATAGCATGAGTAGGCTTAGCACTGATGGTTTCAAATGTTGACATTCCCTCCACCAGAGCCTTCAAAAAGTGTTGACTATTGGTGCTTTGGCCAGGGTGAACCAGTGGGCACCCCTCTGTATGTATCTGGGTCAGTTGGACCATTCATAAGACAATCCTACCCTTCTTGGGACTATCAAGATCTTGGAAAGCCATTTCCATGGTGTCTGGTTAGTCTCAACAGGATCCTTGCTGGAGCCCCTCCTTCCTTCCATACTGTATCAGTGGTTTCCAAAAGACAAGAGGGGTTTCCTTGACCCCAGCTTCAGGCCCTGAAAATATCCTGTAGGGAACCCTGGAAAGGGTTTCAAGGATTCCCTACAGGATATCATTACAAGAGAATGGCCCCTTTTAGCCTGGGATTTGCATTGAGGTTTTGCACAGGGGCCATGCCAGGGGGGTCTATTTTAGGAAAGGTCTCCTCCACTCACAGGCTAATCAGTCGTTTGCAGGGACAAAGTCCACTGCATAGTCCTTGTGACCCAGGAACCTCTTGATGCCAACTGACAGAGGGCACCAAGGGGATGCATGAGGTTTTACAGGGATCCTCCGGGTCACTTATAGGCATAATAATTCACCAGAGTGGGGCATGTAAGGTCTCTATCGAGAACCAGTAGTCATTGTGAAACGCATATACAGGTAATATTCAAGAAGTTATATTTCTGTGCTGAAAATTATGTTCTTAAGATATGCAAGTTAAGGCAAGTCACCAAATGGTGATACATTTTCTCCTGTCAGGTAGGAGGGAAGAGATGCTCATCTCTCTGGCTGGTCATCGGCCACCGGACAATATGCATATCTATAATCTGAGTCGAATACTACTTGATTCGGTAAAGACAACTAGAAAGCAGCACACGGGAAAAAACATTAGCATGGGGGGATCCTGTTTACAAGTAAAGACAATGGATTGTTGGGGGTATACCTTTGGGTGCAAAAAGACACCCTTCATCCTTCACTGAGAAGAGAGGAATTATCAGCATGTTCTTTCTTATGAAATGAGGGTCACAACCAACCTGGCTGGAAAACACTGCAAAGACCAGGTAAGCTAATTCATTAGACAAGACAGTATCTGCTTAACTAAATCTAGGCTCTAGAAGGCATATCATGATTTTATTCTACATGTAACCATGTGTTTCAAATACTTTGACTTGCTACTTCTTGAATCTCTATACAGTACTTCATTAAACAAACTTTCACTTTATACAGATCTGAGTGCTTTGACAATGAAACTGGTAAGCTAGCGTCTAGTGTTTCTTTGGGAGCAGTGGGTCTGTGAATTCAGTGAGTGACTGGTGCATCAGGGGTTTGTCACTCCAGAGGGATGCTTGGAAAGCTCAAGGGTTGGAGTGTGCCTATTGCTAGCCTGTGGAGAGGGAGTAGAGACTGAACAGGTCTGGAGGGGAGTGCTGGTTTACCCTGTGGCTTGTTGGGGAGCTGATCCCTGGCAGGCACAGACAAGGCTTCCTCGTGCTAAGGGCAGGGGCTAGCAAGGTGCCTCACAACCCTAGATACCCCAGGAAAGCATCAGAGTTCTCCTCAGGCTTTCAGAGAAGTCCTTGCAGATATCACAACCTGGGTTTGAGGGGCCATTCCCAAGGCACAAAACACTTTTCAAGCCCATAAGAAACAGAAAATAGCAGGGCAAGGAGAATGCCTCTCACTTTTGTTAGATGGATCTTACCAGCTTGGGCAAGGTACAAGGTGACCCAAAACCAGCAAAACTTCAAAACAGCCCAAGAACTACAACAATTAAGCCAAAATTATCAGGTGTATCCTACACCTATCTGAACTATTCTATGAAAAGAACAGAAAAATGAGAGGTTGGTTCCATGACTATTCCAGCAAGCAAAGAGAAACGAATAGGCCACTAGAGGGGACGGGGTATTTCTAGCCACTTCCTATGAAATGTAGGGTTTGAGGGAGTTGCACACACACCAAAACTGCCAACTATTTCTCAGAAAGTTTACACCACCTCATTGCTAGGTATGGAACTCCTCCAATAGTGGGGCTCTGCAGAAGTAATGCCATGAGACATTATCTACCAAACTTCTCATAGGAAAAAAATAATTCTGATACATGGAAAGCTAGGTGTCCACAGACTAGTGTTCAAATTATTCCTACTTTTTAAAATTCTGACCTGCATGTTGCACATCCCAAATGTAGACACCTGTACCTCTGACTTACAAGTTAATGCATACATTCGAAATGATAATTCAAAGATGTTTACCTGGACCTGTTGTGGCTGCTGAACCTGTATCTGTTGCTCTTGCTGGGTTTGCTGCTGGACACTGGTTGTAACAGGACAGGCAAGCTCAAGCAAAGATCCGGCCACCTCTGTGCTGTCCGTGTAAATGCAGTTTCCACCTTGTTGATATACCATGGTGGTGGTGGCTGTCTGCTGGAACTCCTGGAGAGCTTCAGGCCCCTTGGAAGCAAGAGAGTCGAGAAACTCCTTCATCCTGTGCTGAGGGATTGTTCGTGCTTTCACACGGATGTATTCTTCAAAGGAAATGGTGTTCTCCAGAGAATTATTCATATTGCAAGGTCCTTAGGATTCCTTAACAAAGGAGAAAGTTAAGACTCTTGTTTCACAACTTTCATAGTCATACGGTACAAGGGTACACATGAAGCCAATGGAGAACATCTTACACACACTGGATTTCTGCGTGACAAACACAGCTAGCCGGAAGCCTTAAGAGACAAATGCTGTAGTTTTACATGCCATTTTATGCAGCTAAGCATTTCTTTAATTAATCCCTTGTTAAGAGTCACAACTGGACACTGCTATCCACCCTTCAGGCTTACTTGCCCTGTATAAAGAGTTCTCTCCAGAGTGTTGTCTCCTGCTGATGCCGTATAGTAATGCACTCAGTCTCAGGTCAGACCAGTGCTGAATAGGCTAAATTAACCCTTATTGAATTGTATGTGTTCATTTACAACATGGAATACTATATATAGTATCAAGAACATTTGAGAAGCTATTGCCTAAGGGATTGGTTTATAGCTACAGAAGTGACAGAACCAAGTATCATAACCCATTAGGCAACAAAATAACACTCTGTGGTAACTAATGGGAAGGAGGAGATAGGGAAGTATGAAGTGATAGTATCTCCACATTTACACTGGGATTAGGACTGGGATTATTCTCTCTTTGCTGAGCAGAATTTTCAGACTTCTTTAAAAAGGACAGGGGACAGAATGCTGGAATCCAAAGATTCCATTAAATGGGCCTGGTGCACCTGGAAAGAAGCAGTGAGGTCTTGAAAAAGTGGGTAACAGTAGGCCTGACACTCCTATTAGCAAATATTAGGAGGGAAAAAAATCAACATGAAGCAGGGTATAGTAGGAAGGACATACATGTAAGGTGAAGAAAGGAAAACAGAGCAAAAGAAACCAACAAGCTCAGGGAGAAAGTAAGAGCACAGAGAAAAAAACAAAATGAGGAATCACCCAAGAACAAGATTAACATCTGGGGTATTATCTCACAGATACTGTTTGAATTGCTGACCTATCTTGTTTAAATACAAGTAGTATTCCTATTTCACTATCACCTTTTCTGTGAGTGTATTCTTGTTTCTATGGCAGTAATAACTTGTGGTGAAGGGTAAATACATTTAGATGGTAACCTTACCACTACTGATGTGGTCATGAAATGCTGTGTGGAGATATGGGGTTGCAGGCACAATTACAGGGATAGGGAACTTTTGATGACTGGGCCTAATTATGTACACAGAAGACGACACAGGGACACATACAGATAACACTATATATACACACACACACATTATGGTGATTGGGACTACAGAAATAATAGATGAGAAAAAAGAACCTGTACTACATTTCAGCACTGTGATTTGGTCACAAGAGACTGACTACATTTGTTCAACAAGGTGGCCCAAAGTGTTATTTCTAAAGCAGTGGGCAAGCAAAAGGAGGTTTAGTAATAGGCTGTCAACATTAAGTGCAACAGAGTTCTAGCAATGGGAGCTGGATCAGACCCTAAATCGTTTCTCATTGTTGGTCTGAATCCCACTCAGATCTGGTCAGGCAGCACCACACTCATGACACTACATGCAGGAGGGACTCAGATACAAGTCACTACTAGCATATGGGTCAGGCTTGCAGTCAAAGAGGTATGGATCTCAAAGGCAGAGAATGTGTGTGAGGCAATTCTTGCAAAAAGAACTTATGGGACCTTACAAATAAGTGACAAGTGTCTGCAATGGATTCCTGTGGAAAAATCTACGCAATTATAGTGAACTCAACTATACTGTTGTGCTTACACAAATAAAAAGTACAAGCTTACATTATTCACTTATTTAAGAGAAGGATGTTAATACAGAATAGCTGCATTTGCCACCGTACTTTGGCCACAATGTTTTATAACCCAGCATGCAGAAGCTTCCATACAAATATCTGATAAATCGGGGGGGAGGGAGGGGAGAGAAGAGAAAAGAGGGGGAGATTAAAAGAAATAAAAATCTGTCTTTCACTGAAGTTACACTTGGACAAGCTTTCTAACCAGCTCTACATGTGACACACAACTAATGAAGCTATTCATGTCACTACTGACTCAGTGACAAGTTTCCCCAGAAGCCACCAAGAACACACTCCAAACATCTTTAAACTGTTTACCTTCTCTCAGGAAGAACACATTTGACACCATCAAATGTGATGGGATATTAAAAGTTACTATAGAGAACTTTTTCCAGAGGGTCTGGCTAGAGAATCTTGTCCGCATGCTCATGGTTCAGCTGATCACCATATTTGGGGTCGGGAAGGAATTTTCCTCCAGGGTAGATTGGCAGAGGCCCTGGAGGTTTTTCGCCTTCCTCTGCAGCATGGGGCAGGGGTCGCTTGCTGGAGGATTCTCAGCGATTTGAAGTCTTTAAATCATGATTTGGGGACTTCAACAGTTGAGTCAAGGGAGAGAATTCTTCTAGGAGTGGGTGGGTCAGCTTTTGTGGCCCGCATCATGCGGGAGGTCAGACTAGATGATCATAATGGTCCCTTCTGACCTTAGAGTCTATGAGTCTATCTACACCCATGCTGAAACCAACAGAAACCCTGGCCTTGCGAATATGTTTTCAGTGCTGCAGTAGACCACCAGGCCTTCATCAACAAATTCTGAAATGAGTATTAAACCTCACTGAAAGAAAACAGAAACCCAGGATGATACTTTGAAGTAGAGAATTGTTACGTTTTCCGTGTGTGTGTGTGTGTGTGTGTGTGTGTGTGTGTGTGTGTTGT